TAATGATTCTATGATTCTGTGATTCTAACCTAATAGTCTCAGTAGGTCTTTTTGTTTGTTTCACAGGGCACTCCTTCAAAGAACAACAACTTACAAAATTAGCTAGACATAGCGACAGATCTGTCGATCGCAGTAATGTTCTGTGAAGCAAGCGTTCATGTAGAGAGTGTGTACATAGCAGAAGAATTGGGGAGGGGTATCTAGAAGGCAAAGAGGTTTAAAAAAGAGGGGAAACTTGCTAAGTGCTGTCAGTCCTTAAGTAGTTAAAAGCTGAGAAAACTGTGGATGAAGCATGTGTGCTTCTCAAATGGCTCGAGAAGGTATAATGAATAGTTAAATACTATGATGGAACCAGAATAGAAGTAACATCAAAGGAAGATGATTTAGATACATATTAGAGGATATTCATACCTAATTATCAAAGCTTAACTGCCGCGCTTAATTTTTTCTGAAAATTTAACCCTCTAATACATAATTGTAAGTAACACGTTAAACTCCTTTAAGCAGAAAGAAAAAAGGAAGGGGGCAAAAATCTGTGCATAAATGTCACAACATCTAATTTAAAATACAATTTGAAGTATAAAGTTTCTCTGTTTGTTAAAGAGATGCAACCAATGGCTAATAAACATTGACAGATAACAAACACAGAAGACTGGTGAACAGTTTCATAGTAATAGCTAATGAATTGGATAAAACAAATTAACAAAAATGCTGCTGGGGAGACCCTTTATCAATGGGGAGACAAATACTGGGAAAACCTGGTATTTTACTAGCAACATTGGAAACTGGAATAACTAACCTCTCAATAACTGTAATGCAGACTGCCAGGTGCATCTCAATGAACATGTCTTGGGGCTTGGCCTGTGTCCCGGTACAACTATTTCTTACTGCACACCTCTCAGATTGAGACTTGAAGGAGAATCATTGGCCCTGTAAACTAAAGGAGGACAGTCTACCTACAGTGCTCCAAGACAAGTAAATACATATTTAAGCGCACCTGGAGTCTCCAGCAGGAAGACTGCAAAGGAGGAGTCTGCCAGTTTCAATAGGAAGGGTACGGGATGGATATTGGACCAATGCACAACTCCCACATCCAAGTTATAGGGAGAAGGAGCACGTGGGATTGAGAAATACATCAGGAAATTTGGGAGGTACACACTCAAGTTGGACTCTGGTTTCTGGCTGAAAACTCATTAAATGAAGAAAAGGGACTTTGGGTTGGATTGGGAAACTTACGGAAAGGGTGGCCACAGCAAATCCCCTGGACTTCAATGTATAACCCTGGCAAAGCCTGAGCCATGGTTCACTGTAAAAGGATGGTAGTTTTGGTAGGGTAACACCAAGCTTTGCCAGGAGAATGGAACACCAATTGTCCAAAACCTCGTGAATGAATGCGCAACAGAAGTGATATCACAAGTGCTATTAACTGAAACTGACTCTCAATAACTAAGAAATAGACCTAAGTTGGTCTTGGACACTGCAATATAACTTAAAAATAAACACACACCTACCCTCAGAGCAGACCACTGAGGTGGATTACTCAGACCTGCAGGAGTGGGACCAGACTCAGCAACAGCTCAGAGATCTGAATCTATAGGCAAGACAAGGGCTCACTCCAGCACACAACACAACACAACTATTCCACCTATCTTGCCAACAACCCAGGATCCTGTAGCTGTGTGCACCCTTGAGGCCAAAGAACCAGACTTACCTACGCAGGCTATCACTCTTAGAAGGACATTACCAATTTTAAGTGCCTTACTACATACAGGTTGCATTCATAGGTCAAGGCGATACTGGCAGTAACAGGAGGTCAGTCCGCAGTTAGTCACACCGCTCACAGCAGAGCAGGGTTCCATCCCTATGTGTCCAGCCCATGCAGGGCGGTAGCACAGAAGGCCCACTCAGGGTCTACCAGAGTGATGCAGCTCCTTCCCATCCTACCTTTAAGCGTGGGATTGTTAGGGCTGTGGGGAGATCACAAAGCTGCTGCCTAGGCCCTGGCCTGAAGTTAAGCTTCATGAGAAAGGGCATTACAGGCATGAGAAGCTACTGGATACAACACAAGAAACTGCCAGACATGACAGATAACAATGGGAGAAGCTGACAAGTTACAGGTAGCGGCATAAGGGATGGCTGGATTTTGCAGGTGGTTAACAGGGTGCTTCGTGAACAACAGCCAAACTTCACAGATAACCAGAAAGGAGCACTGGAGATCTTATGCGGAAAAGGACCTTCCTTGTGAGGCCAACATTGCATAAGTAACCATATCCAGGAATACCATACAAGAATATTACTTAGGTAATCATACCATAAATAGCAAATCTGGGTTGGGATGTAGCAAAACTGGGACCAATATGGAAAAAAATAATCAGGGGAGAGTTGTTTACCTGGGAGGAGACTGGAGTGGAGAAAGGGAGGCAAAAGCACAACAGAAAGGAAGGTCAAGAAGTGAGAAAAGAGACAGTAAGTTACGAGAATCATGCAGTCAAAGCTGTTTGAGGTTATCCGTCAGGCAGCCCTATGCTTGATCACTGCAGCCTGAATCAGGACAATACATAAAGCCTGTTCTGACAAACCACCTGCATCAAACCTGCTTCTCCAGTCAGAGGGACCAGGGTGGGCAGGGTGCTTTCCATGGCTACCAGAGGAGCAGCCAGACAGACGGATCAAGCAACCTGGTATCACTGTACTGATGCCCATTCCAGGCTGGGCAGCATCAGCAGCTACCCAGCACTCATAACAACCTCCCCACCTCTTACAGTCCCGAACACTGAAGCCAAATACAAATGAAAGCAGTTCTGCCTGTATCAGATGACAAAAATACATCAGCTAATTAAAATGCAATGGTACTCTACAAAGTTATTTAAACAAAAGAAGTGGAATATAATGAGCTTTTTCCTTCAGGTATTAGGTCACATTTGCATATTACAAAACATGTTACTTCTTCTACACCACTAACATCATCACAGCTGAACTTCATTGTAAGTTTTAAGAACTATTTACAAATTATTAAACTACTGTAATTTTATGGCCAGAGAAGACAACTGAATTGGTCAACTACAAGACAGCATAAAAAAGTTCATAGCAAAACCAAAGATGAAGACTAAATACAGTTCTCTGATCCTGGACTGAATTTGTGAAGACACAAGTTTCTGTGCCATAGTAAAAAACTGAAGCTGATGATGCTGAGACAAGCAATCAGCACACTCAATATATTCTGAAACTGGTTGTTTTTTTCTTTACACTTTCTTTTTCAGCATGAAATTAAGGAAAATAAAAAAAAATTCACTACTACTTAATACAGTTAATGGCTATTAAAACTCTCTGAAATTAGAAACTTATGTGTTGCATTTACTAACAATAGCTTACAGCATTTCAGGAATTCTGTGTCAAAACAACACAAAATTCAACATACTATGTTCTCAAATCACATAATCGGCTAAATTATATATGTTTTCAAATAATTTGAGCTCTTGATCTTTTCTGTCTGCCATATTATAGTTCATAAATCACATTTTCTCAAGATGTAAAATAGTTTTATTCATACTTCCTTCCATTTGAGAGAAGGTATACTACTATTTTAACAGTGACAAGAAAGAAACTATTATTATAAAAGTAGTAATGTGTCTGTCAATAAGTAAAGATAAAAGAAATACAGATTGTAAAACACCGGAGGGAGTAATTATTACACGCTACTTAAACTAATGGTAAAATTTCAGAATGTTCTTTTAGCGAATGAGCATACAACATCAGCTTTGACTAAAGAACCATTATAACAACAAAGGAATACTAGGAAAATTTTTATATTAAATTCCCAAAGGCTGTTGAAAGAGAGTATAGACAATATGAACAAACATGAAAGCAATGTGCATATTTTAGAAGGTCTATAGCTTATTTAAGCCAACAGTGAGGAAAATTAATTAAGAAAACAGAAAAAAAAAATGCAATCATAAAACTGAAAGGATGCAATTCAGCCCATTAATAGAAAGAATCTACTGCAATAATTTATCCGGGACTGAGAGAACAGATATTAGAAGTATGGTCCTACAATACTTCAAATAAAGATCTGGCAGACACACACCCGCTCTGTGTACATCAGCATTAGAGCAGCAGCGAGGTTTTGGAGCAAATCCTGCATCAGTCCCACTAACCACGTGCTGACTCAGTTCCCAGGCCTGTTCTGGTACATGCAAACTACATCCCTTTTCAGGGAAAAGAAAACAGATGCTCTGCTCCTGCTGGACACAAAACATGCTCCAAACCCTAACGGGTTTGGGTTTTTTCAAGTCTTCCATTGCCACTGTGACTAAGCAGAAAGGGAATGTTCTCCTATGAGACTGTATTGCTCTTTTACTTGAAGAAGCTCAAATAATGGATTTCAGGTGCATACTCGATTTACGGCACAGGAAAGTTAACTTCATAAATTGACAGCATAGCCAGTCTGCTAACAAGAGCATTTTTAACTAGGGACAACAACATGACAAACACACACACACACACAAAATCAACTAGTTACCATTCATCGTATTTCCTCCCTCTCTTTAACTTAAATATTGTACTGCCATACTGAATTGTTATTTAAAGTAAGTTTTTGTTTAGATACCCAGAGCAAATGAGAAGCAACTCTCACCTGTGGAGGAGGTACTGTTATTGGTGCAGGCATGGGAACAGGAATTGGAACAGGTAAAGCTTTAGGTATAGGTGACACTGGTTCATTATGTGTAGCTTCTGCACCTCCATTTTGAGCTACTTCATTTTCAGACTTCTTGGGAATGCCTTTCCACTCTATACAAAAAAACCCCAAACATACATGTATCAGCTCAGCAGAAGCGGACAAATAGTCAAGTACTGCCATATAAAACTACCATACTTTGTGATGTTTACAAAAATGACATAATTGAAAATACTCAGATAATGAGAAGCACAGAGCTAAGAAGCATTTAAACATATTTCTGACAATAAAAATTCCAAATTACTTTTAACACAGTACAGCAAATCATTGAAACATAGCAAGTACATTTATTCCTTTCATTAGTCATTTAACAATTCTTTGCAGTGACAGCATTTATATATGCCCAGGACTCTGAAACACATAATCTGTAACAAAAACAGTAAGGTTGTTTTAGGACAAGCTTTCAACAGATTCATCCCATTCCTCTCAAGCAAGAAGACAGCAGCTTTTTCGCTAATTTGAGAAGTGAGTTCTCAAAAAACAACATTTTCAAGTCTTGCGCGAGGAAAAGGAGAATAAAACAATAAAGAATCGCAGCAAAATAAGAGAAACATCAAATACAGCTTTAAACTCATTTTACAGAAGAAATATGACTCCTATTGTTGTTACAACCTCCTGGGAAAAGACAGCTAAGCAGAAAAAAAGGGGTCAGCAAAGAGGCATTATGGGAAAGAGAAAAGCATTGAGAAGACTGGAACACATTGAGGGTATGTTTATCATTTGTTACACTTTCATTTAAAATACAGACTCAACTTATTTTTGTGCATTTATCATGAAGAGATGCTACTATTTAGAACAACCACAACCTAGCGCAAATTCGACAGAATGACAAAACCCTGAAATAACATTTCAGTAACTAGACAGCACACCACACAATGGTTAAAACCAACACAGTAGTCTAGAGTACCAATTCAAAGAACTTAAGGCAATTTCAATTTTTAAGTACTGCATTCATTTAATATTACTTTTAGAATCACAACAGCCAGCACACTAGCGACTCTATATTGATTTGAAGCCCGTAATTGATTTGAAGCCCATAATTGATGTGAAGCTGCTGATTATAACAGGTGTAATTTTCTTAATACAGCCATAGAAGCCCGATTATTTTCACTGTTTACATACAAAATAACAAGAATTCTGTTAGGTCCCTATAAATACAAGACTTGCTAAAGGAACTGAAAATGTCACAAGTGTGAAAACTGTAGGAACTTTTTTTAGAAATTATAAAGTCGCCATCAGCTCTGTTGCTACAAAAGTACTCCAAAGGCAGGCTCCTTGGCTAGGGGTGTCTCGCACAAAGCAGGGCAGGGGGGCGGGACGGACACCAAGCTGGCTCTGGGAGTAACAAGTACAACACACTTGCCTCATGCATTACCATTGAGGGCAAACACCAGCACAGCTGACAGGTCACCTGGTATCCACCTGCATTTTTAGCCCAGCCTCTCGTAACACAGCTGCACAACTCCCGATGAGGGACTGTTGTTAACTGCTTACAAACTCTTTGCAATCTATGGGTTACACATGCTGCATTTCTTAGCCATTTCAAGGATTTTATATGCACCTCAGAGTCATAAAAGTCAGCCACACCAACTTCAGTACACCAGCACTGTAAAAGATAATTTTTTAAAAGCATTTAAAGATGTAGCAATACTTTACCTGGACTAAGAGTTTCATTGTCCAACATTCCTCCTTCACAGAAACTTTCAAGATCTTCAGGTTTCACTTTGTCCCATGGTATGTAAGTAACACCTAATTCTACATCCCAATACTGCTTGTAATCTGGCTTTATTCCTTTATTCAAAGCCCATGCAATCTTGGGGGGGAAAAAAAAAAATACATGTAGTCAGTAAAACATTTCCATTTTAATGGATTTAATATTTAGTTCTCACAAAACAGCATTACCATTTGAGGCTAAAAAGAAAAAAGAATACTCTAATTGAAACAGTAGGAAAAACAGGTTAGTTACAAAACTCTGAAATAAGAGGGTTTTTTAAAGCAGACTTAGTTCTTATTTCTTGGCTTGACTCTTGCACACAATTTGTAAAAAAGTATAAAGGCAGTTTCTTCAAATGTTCCCCAGTTACTAAGGTTAATTCTACAAAAGGAAGAACTTCGCTAATGAATGTGTTCTTCCGTACTTATTAGCACTCTTTGTAGGATTATCACATGTAATTAAACTTGATTATAAGACAAATAACCAGCAACAAGAAAAACATACTTACAGTCCACTGTAATGACTAAAAGGACACAATTTTTGTTGGTTAAATAGACAATTATTGGCAATCTTTCAAGGAAACTGATACACGTTCCACTAGACACATTACAGAACATGAAGAATACTTATCAAGAAAAAAAGCGGTCCATTTACATAAATTTACAGAATACCACATCTAGAATACATAAAAGTCTAAAATAGCTACAAGTCTAGAATAGACGAAAAAGGATTACAGTAATTACAGTAACTTTAAAACAGCTTGACATTTTCCAAGAAGTACCTTTATAGATTTCTGATTGACTTTGAAGTTTCCTCGGCTCAGTTTTTGTAGGGCACGGTAAGCATCTTGTCTGTGAACCATTACAATATAGGCACATCCTCTAGGCGGTATCATCTGTTTTTATTTTAAGAAAAAAAAAAATTGGTTTTGCTAGCACATTAACAAACTCATGAACAACATACAAGTGTTCAATTACAGTAAGCTGGAACATCAGCAGGTGTTTCAAAAAGGAGTATGGAAGTATGAAAGAGAATGTTAGTTTAAGAGGCTAAGACAGCCAGTATCTTCTGGAAATACAAATTTCTAGTAAATTAAAAGCAACTTCTTATATGGAAAGCTTTAAACTCTATTCTGCATGAGAATATGGACGACTGTTGTATATTTAATCCTGTAAAATTGTTAAACAGTAGTGTTCATGTAAATGCTGTGTCTGGCAATTAGTTACTTTGTTGGAAGAAACAAGACACTCTTGATACCCTACTTCATTCCGTATACCACAAGCTGCCAGCTGCACGTCCACATTCAGTTTTATCTGCAGTTTTGTAACTTTTATTATTTGTAATGCATTTGAGAAAAAACTTCTATGTTGTTTTACAAAATTTGGGAAGAAGAAGAAATTACAGTCAGAAGTGACTGTTTGCTTGTTTAAATGAAACTTTATAGCTACCAGAACAGCTATCATTTATATATAAAAATATCCTTAAATACAGCAAAGCGTAACAATAGTTCTCCCTGTTTATAACTAAAATGACAGAAGAGAAACAAGCAAACGAAACAACACCACCAGCTGAGAGCCCACATTTCTAAAATCAAACAAAATCAGACAAGGAATTCAGTAGCACAGTATGTAATTCTGTACCCATCTCCTCAATAGCCCTTCCTCATTCAATTCTCTCCAGAGAAAGCATGATTTTTATGAAGATGCGATAATCTTCTGTACTACCCCCAAGAGCATTTTTAAGTTGCAAGAAACTAAAGCAACCGCCTTCTTGGTTTTTTACAAAGCGGCCAAATGAATTGAGTTTACATGTTAGAAAACACAACCATATAAGAAATGAGAGCTCTTGACTCTTTTGAATGTATCAAAAATAAAGCTGTCTTAAAACAGTCCGAAAAGCCTTTTTGTAACCAAGGCATATCAAAGTAGCTTATACTGCACCATTTATACTTACATTTATTGATTCAATCGGGCCAAACTCCTCCAAAAGGCTTCCGACATCCTGTTGAGTTGTCCTTTTGTCAAGTTGTCCTACCCAAAGCGTAGTACTACAAACTACAATTAAAGAGTTAACACAGATTGTAAGAGCACTCGGAAATACACATTTCATAAGCCAGAATGTCAAAATAGTCATTTTAAAATACTCAGTTATTCAAATGAAAAAGCCAGCTAATATTATAATATATATATTTTA